TCTTCTAAAGAGAAAGGCTGGTGATTTATCCTTTGATAGAATGATGTATGATTTTTTGTAAATTCGGTACTTCTCTGATAGATTGATGTCTGAATTTTGAGATTGGCTGCCGCATTTTCCTTTAGAACTATGATTGGACGTGTAAGAAAATCATAGAATGAGCAACTTTTGTAGTTGTATGTAAAAAATTGAGAATTGGATTTAGGACTTGTTTTATTGGTGGAAGAGGCGGCTGCCAACTTCAGGAGCATGGCAGCTGCCTCTTCCACCAACTTTGGGAGCTGTGACTTCAATGAGGTAGCATGGAAGCTGCGGCTTCCAAATGTTAATGCATTTTTATAGCGTAGCACTTCCCATTTAACAAACACGGGATGTGCTACAGCACTTGAAGGCATGGCTTTGGAAGCCACGACTTCTAGTAATGAAGCACACCCTTAATTTCCTTCTAGTATAGTATGACTCTCGAATATTTGAAATGTGCTATATGGTATGCGAGATCATCAAGAACAAATGTCCCAGCTGTGTCCATTGCTTCCCCAGGGCACCATGGCCAGTGCTGCTGGAAAATTTCGTACGGGCATGAGAGACAGAGGGAGAGAGAGAGAGTTGTGAATGCCATTCCCATTTTACATGCACATTTTCACAAATACACACATGCACAACTAGAAGCATACAATTGCTTGTGATGTAGCAATGTGGTATCCTTTACTCTTTTAAGTCTGTCTTTTTTTCTTTGGTTTCACTTTTGCTCAGCTTCATTGACTTCTTGAGCGTTCTCTCTCTCTCTCTCTCTCTCTCTCTCTCTCTCTGTATATTGCAGGTTCAATGTTTAAGAGGATAGATTGCAAGATTCCTATTCTGGTGACTTGAGGTTGAGCCCACACCAAATGTCAAGGTCACTTGCAGCATTAATTGCAGGTGCTGTAGGGACCCTGGCATTGGTGGGCATAGGAATCATATTCATATATTTCTGCATTTTCCGTAAGAGGAATATTCCAAGCAACACTTCGGAGAATGGTTCATCAGACACCTCTGTGCAAGGTTAGCTGAATTGGACACAAATCGATGTTTTTAATACAAAAACAAAAAGACAAAAGGCATATTAAACAGGGTTAGCAAACTGCCTACCCAACTATACCCTATCTTAACCCAGTTTAAAAAATGGACCCTAAATTTGACTTCCATGGTATCAAAGGAAAGTCTACCACTACCGAATGGGCTATGCAAACTATATAATCTCAATTGTGGTCATCACCCTACATGGAAAGTGACCCACCATCGGGGTTATTTCCTCTCTCTCTCTTTCTCCCCCTCCTTCCTTACATCACCATCCATAAGTGATGATCCCAATGGACTATGATTTTACACGGGCTTCTGGATTATGTTATACTTTGACCTTTATCAAACTCTGTGGCTAACTTAGAAGCAGCTAGCTTTATACTGGTAATATTGAAGCCAATATGAATTTGCTTGGGTTTATATGGTTGTTTAGCTTTATGGTTCTTTTTATACTTATAGACAATTGTGGTGTAATCAGATGCTTTGTTCTTTGTTTTTAGTGAGTCATGATCGAAGTATTGAAATTCTGCTAACGGGTCACACTCCTCTAGCATCTGACTCGCAAGAAGCAAGGCATTTCCGGCTTGAAGAGTTGGATTTAGCCACAAAGAATTTCAATGAGAAGAACCTTATTGGAGAAGGTAGATTTGGACTGGTTTACAAAGGTTTGCTTCATGATGGGACAGTTGTAGCTATAAAGAGGCGGCATGCTCCACCTAAACAGAAATTTATTGATGAGGTATATTAGCCATTCTATAATTTGTGCGCCAAGTTCACATTTGCTCAATTTAAATACCAATACAAAAAACTTACTTGGAGCATTATTCGGTGCATGGCAGGAGAACGCATCGAATTTGATCTCAAGTATGTTACCATTGCAAACTGATGATCTCTTGCATACGGTGCACTACTTGACAATATGTCCAAAATGCTGAACTGTGGAAACTAAATTGACAAAAGAGGGACACATGCCAATTGGGGGCCCATAATAGATACATGTGTACTTCATTGGTGCCCAATGCTCACTACTGGCTGCATGCATTTAATATTTTTCTATATAATGAGCATTTTCATTGATAGACTGCAACAAATTGTACCATATGTAAAAAAATAAAGATATGTACTAAGGGAAGGAGACAGGGAGTACAAAGGGTCATTCAAATCCCATTGAACCAGGAAAAAGGATAAGGAGAAGGAAAAATGAAAGAAAATAAATTGAAGGGACAACATTACATAAATGGCAAGGAAAATGGGCAAGTGCGCAACACTTAATGTTACCCCTTGAATTAGATCATAAAATCTCAATATCAAGAGGAACTATTCTTAGATAAGTTCTGGGTTATCCATGGAGCATTAGTTATAATTTGGCCCTACAGCCAAGTCCCATAACTGACTCAAGTCAAAGGGAAATTGAGGCAAGAATACAAGGATTTTTAATCTATATCTTAATACATCTTACTGAGATCTTAGTACATTCCTATTGAGCAAATTAATGTGCAATTAAACTAAATTCTGAATCTGGTATCCCTCTGTGAGTCTTGTTAAATTGTCAGACTCAGACAAGAACAAGCTTCTATAACTTATATTAAGCTAAGTATTGGTGTTCATCAATGGTCAAATGCTTTCTTTGCCTATTGTCTGGATTTGCTTTCCTATAGTTTCCTGGACTATTGAAAACCGTATTCCGTTGGGGTTGTCGCTTTTCATTGAGATGGACAGGAGTGGAGAGAAAGTGGGACCCACCAATTGGGTATCCTGTTTGGGTGGTCCCACTCTGTTGTCATCACTGTCCATCTTTCATTGGACAGTGATGAACCCAATAGACTATGTTTTCCATAGTTAAATATGTATTTATGTTCTTTTATTTTTTCCCTTTCATTTACCTTTAGTACATGTCCATTGCCAGCTTTTCATACTTCATTAAACTCTTACTTTCTTTTTCTGTACTGTCTGAAACTATATGGTCTCAATGGCTGATCAGGTTCGTCAACTTTGCTCTATTCGTCACCGAAACCTTGTGAGTCTTCTGGGTTGTTGCCAAGAAAGAGGTCAACAAATGCTCATTTATGAGTATATACCCAATGGCAGTGTTTCCAGGCATTTATATGGTTGGTATTCATTTATCGTGCTCCTATATTGTAGTTTCTCACACTTAACAATATAGAGTTTCTAAGGAGTTATTGTGTTCATTTTATTTTCTGTCGGTTCAGAACAGCACCCCCAGACAAAACTGGAATTCAAGCATAGACTCTTAATTGCTCTTGGGGCAGCAAGAGGTGATTATCAGTAACATAAAGTGACATCTGAGATTCATTCGTTGGACTTGAAAGAGATTTCTTTGTTCTTTTATAAATGACAAACTTTTTATTGTTTTCTTATGCCTTCATTTTTAGTGACAATTTTTTATTTTGGATTAAATGCAATTGAACAATATTATTCGAAGTCATAATGGTTACTGCTTCATTTGTTGTTTGAAGGTTTGGACCACTTGCATGCTATGAATCCTCCCATGGTACACAAGGACTTCAAAACACACAATGTCCTTGTAGATGAGAATTTCATAGCAAAGGTTGCTGATTTTGGGGTCTCAGATATGCTTGAGAGAGTCAATGATGCGGGTCCTTCTCAAATGATGGGTGTTGATACATTCATGGATCCAGAGTATTTTGATATTTTCACCTTCTAGCTATTAGAATAGATCAATTCTTCAATGAAAATTAGTTGTCCTGCCAGATTAAAAACGAAGTTATGAATCAAACATCATGTTAACAGCTAGAGTGAGGTTTTGTGAATCTTTGTACTGTTTCTCTCGATTCAAACTTAATGCAACTTGTAATTTTTTCATTAATAGAATGTTCTCTCTCTCTTTTCTCTTTCTTTTTTCCATTTTTATTCTACATATTCTTTGCCGTGTTATTCGAAACATAGAATAAAAATCTTGTCTGATTGGTGGTCTCTTGTTTTTTTCTTTGTTTGTAGAGTGAGAAAACTGGGAAGGTTATCGGACAAGAGCGATGTGTATAGTTTTGGAGTGTTTCTTTTGGAGTTGTTGAGCGGAAGAGAAGCTGTGAAACCCCAATTTCCAAACAATGGTCCAAGCCTGGTCCAAATGGTACTTTCTCTTCATCCCATAGAACTAATGTAGCTCCTTACATTCTTGTATGTTGCATTAACCGAATGGCTTAGATGAGATTTCCCTGAAATATTTTGAACCAATGATAATGGCAAATTTGGGTTCAATATAGCATTTGTTCATGAATGATGTTTTTCTGCAAAAGACACACACGCACACAGCATCATCGTCCACTCAATCCATAGAATATTATCCTCTCTCTCTCAAACACAGACATATATGCTCACATGAGCAGCATTATTATCTTCTCTCTAACACACACACATGCACGCATGTAAGATGGTTATCCTCTATCTCCACACTATATTGATTTGCTATTTTGAACATAACCAAAAGTGGGATTAGATTAGAAACTTTAGTGAGAGGCTGGAAAGGTTTAGGATAAATTCTAGAGGACATGGTTTTCATGTGCAGATGTATTCGTTGAATCGAGAATGATTCGTGTGGCTGCTCTTGTGAAGGCCAAGACCTGCTTGGAATCAGAGGATATCACATCCATCATTGACCCAGGGATGGGTGAAAGCTTCACAGCTGAAGGCATTAAAGAGATGATCAATTTGGCAATTATATGTGTCTACCCTTCCAGGGAGAGAAGGCCCATGATGCATGATGTCATGGCAGAGCTCGATAGGATCCTCGAGAAAGAGATGAGCTTGACCACCATCATGGGTGAGGCCACTCCCATTGTTATTCTTGGAAGCCAGTTGTTCACAGCACCACAATGATAAAAGTTGAAAATCAGGAATAAAAGAGAGAGGCGTTTCAAGTCTCATGATTTTTGTGTTTTTTTTCAATAAATGATCAAAGGTGAAAATCAGGAAGAAAAGAGAGGAGTTTTGAGTTTTGTTAGAGCTTTGTTTTTATTTTTCAGTAAAAAAATAATGCTGATATATTGCATGGTATTGGGTCAGCTGCTTGTCAAACGTAAAAAATCAACTGCAATATATTTCTTTTCTTCTTTTTTCAGTTAAAATCAGCTGCAATATCATGATTGATTTTTTTTCTTTTGTCTTTCTGTGGATGAGAATAATTGTGTATATACATTTGTAGAAATTTTTAAATTAGATATATTGAAAACAGAGGAATTTTATCGAAGTGTGTTGGTTATGAAACTCTAGTGCGTTGGTTATGAAACTGAGGTATCTTTGTGATGGAGTTCCTAACCTAACAGGTTTCTTATCTTTTTCTTTTAAATTGTGGATTCAGTAAATAGTTAGGGCTTATTACTTAATAAAATGTCTCTAATGAAATAGGGTTTTTAATTTCTTGTAATTGAATGGCCGAACTATTCAATTGTCCGTAATGATTTCAATAAATTTTGAATGCTCATAAATTGGGATGAAAATTTTTCTCTATACCCCGATGCACATAAATCTTCTTAGATTGACATCGGTGTAGTAAGGAATGGATTGGATCGTCAGAGAGTGAGCTGACAAATATTTAATTTTTAAATTAATGCCTCTTGTTCTTGTCCGGCCATAATTGATGTAATATTTTCTTGTCCAGCCATAATTGATGTAATATTATTGACAGCTAGTCTAATGGAAAATTGTCGTCCCCGAACCATATGAATTATGAGTTTTTGTCGTTCTGTAATAACTGTGTAACGATGTAACGATGTTGGGTCAATGCAGTCTAATCCGGATCATGCACTGTTGAGTCCCAAAACTTGTTGACCAGAATGACCCCCGTTTCTCCCACTGAGTATAAACCGCTATTTCATGGCTAGAACTCAACCGAAAAATGTCTTAGATCTTCTCTCTCTTAACAGCCATCTCAAACTGAAAATCAAACGAAAATACGCATCGGATTTTCTCTCTCTTAACACCCATTTTATACCAAACCTCGCATCACATTTTCTCTCTCTAAACAGCCATTGCATGGCGACCTTAGCAATCCAAATTCTTCAAAGCTCTCAGCTCACTGTCCATGAACCTATGCAAAGCTATAGGAAATGCACCACCATGGAACAAGCCCTCCAAATTCACGCTATTCTCATCAAAACTGGCCTGAATTCTAACCCTCTCTACACCAGAGAGATACTCAAATTCAGCGCTGTTTCGCCTGATTCGAACATGGGTTTTGCTCGATCAATCTTCGACCAAATTCAAAACCGAGATGTGATTTCATACAACACAATGATTAGAGGTTATTCGAGTAGAGATTTACCTTTCGAGGCTCTTTCCCTCTATAATTTAATGAAAGAGAGTGGAGTAGATTGTGACCATTACACATTTCCATTTGTTCTAAAGGCTTGTGCTCGTCTTTACTTGCTAAAGAAGGGTATGGAGGTTCATGGATTCTGTGTAAAGCTTGGGCTTTCCTCAGATATTTTTGTACAGAATGCTTTGGTACATATGTATGGGAATTGTGGCGAAGTTTTAATGGCACAAAAAGTGTTTGATGGAATGGGTAAGAGAGATGTTGTTTCTTGGTCTTCTGCGATTGGATGTTATGTGAGAAATGGACTTTGTAATGAAGCATTGGACTTGTTTCAGGCAAGGTCTCTCCTCTATCTCTCTCGCCGAACACACATGCACACACGACCAGTCTTCAGCTTGAAAATCCATCTTATTGTTATTTCTTTGAAAACACTCTCTCTTTCTCAAGGCAAACAATGAAGAATTTGTGGCTCTCTTCGCTGAAGATCAGCCAAGATTCAACATTTTTTTTTATTACAACACACACACACAGTCTCTCTCTCTCACACACACGCACAAACACACACACACACAAATGCCACGTTCTTTTTTCTTCTTTCTTGGAATTCATGGCCTCATCTCTTATTGAGAACATTGTTTTAAGATGTATCCTTAGACATTCAGATTGAGATGAACTTTGAAACACTAAGACTCCCTGAATGTTTCTTTCAGGCCATGCAGATTGAGAACATGAGACCAGACGAGGTGACAATGGTGAGCGTTGTGTCAGCCTGCACCAGTCTAGGGGCCCTGGAACTTGGAAAATGGGTTCACCATTATCTTTCTAGAAATGGGTTCGAGCTGACAGTAACATTAGCCACTGCCTTAATGGACATGTATGCAAAATGTGGGTGCTTAGAGGGCTTGCTCAAAATCTTTCACAAAATGCCTCAAAGGAATTTATTAACTTGGACCTCTCTTATAGGTGGTTTAGCCATTAATGGGCGAAGCCTTGAGGCCTTAACAGCTTATGAAAGCATGAAAGAAGCAGGGATGAGGCCTGATGATATCACACTAATTGGAGTACTATCAGCTTGTAGCCATGGAGGCCTGGTTCAAGAGGGGTGGAGCCATTTCCATAGCATAAAGCAAGAGTTCAAAATGGAACCAAGAATTGAGCACTATGGGTGCATGGTCGACCTTCTTGGGCGAGCCGGGCAATTAGAAAAGGCTTATCAATTCATTGAAAGCCTACCCATCAAACCAAATTCGATAATGTGGCGAACCTTGCTTGGAGCATGTGCCAGTCATGGAAACTTAGAGCTAGGTCGACTGGTTTCCAATAGAATTCTAGAGATAGAATTAGATCACGAGGGTGACTATGTCCTCCTCTCTAACATATACGGGGGGCTCGGCCGGTGGGCTGATAAAGCAGGAGTGAGAAACTTGATGAGAGAGAGAGGGATTGAAAAGAGACCAGGGTGTAGTATTGTAGAGGTTGATGGTGTGATCCATGAGTTTGTTGCAGGGGATGAATCCCACCCAAGATACAAGGAGATCAATGAAATGGTGGCCAATATAATGAAGAGGCTCAAGCTTGAAGGCTACGTGCCTGATGTATCTAATGTGCTGTTCGATATAGATAATGAGGAGAAAGAGAAGGTTTTGAGTTATCACGGTGAGAAATTGGCAATGGCTTTCAGTCTACTTAGCACAAGAAATGGCGTCCCTATTCGAATAGTGAAGAATCTGAGAATATGTAGAGACTGTCACAATGTTATGAAGCTTGTTTCAGAGATGTTTGATCGAGAAATTATTGTCAGAGATCGGAATCGATTCCACCATTTCAGAAATAAGTCCTGTTCTTGTGGGGATTATTGGTGAGAGGATGATGAGTACTGTATTCTCTGAAGGGATTCTTATGCTGGGTTAACAACCCAACCTAAAATGACATCCAAAGAGGTAAAAAGACTGGAAATGGCTCCTTATATAAAAACCCGACTCGCTTGTGACCTCCTTATATAAAAACTCTCTACGTGCCCTCTCACTTTCTCTCTCTTTATGCTACTGGCTCTGACAGGTGCATTTTTACTTCTCTCTTTTTCTCTCTACTCTCTTTTTCTCTCTACCCGTCCTCTGTTTCATTCTCTCTATCCGCCCTCTCTCTCCACCCGGTCTCCCTCTTTTTTTCTCTATACCCACCCTCTCTTTTTCTCTCCACACGGCCTCTCTCTCTCTACATGCACTCTGTCTAATTTCTATATGCCCTCTTTCTTTAGCAAATCATCAAGGCTAGGGGGTCAATTACATTCGTGTGACTACTAATTTCTATATGCCCGCTGTCTTTGGCAAATCATCAAGGCTAGAGGGTCAATTACATTCATGTGACTACTCGGCAGCATGATTGCAATCCCCATCTTCCTAAATAGCCACTTCCATATATGGGTAGCGAACAAACAATCGAGAAACAAATGATCCCCGTTCTCATTACTTTTAATGCAAAGAATACAAATATTAATCAGGATCCTTTCCCTCTTTATTACATTATCAATAGTCAAGATCTTACCTTGAAAAAACACAGTTTAATTTTGTACGGGATTCGCTAGCACCAAATCTTCTTCAACGAACACCTGTTCCATCTCTCCTTGTCATGCAACAGTAAGTTGTATGTTGATTTAACCTTAAAACAACCATCATTTTCTAACTCCCACACAAATTTGTCCTCAATCTCTTGAAGAGGCCTCAAGCCTTGAAGCTCCTTGAGTAACTTTGTGTATTGTCTGATAATACTATATGTTGCCGTATTATATCGATAGTTCACACTCCAAATTTGCCTCCGCTTATGAAAAGCTTGAGAGCTGTCATCAATGGCTCGACAATTTCACTGTTACCAAAGGAGAAGAAACTCTCAATAGAGATCCCCCCGGCCATTTGTTGTACCGAAAAGAAACTGTATTCCCTCTTCTAACAATCCATCTATAATATCTCATCATGAAGTCTTTGCCTTGTAAAATTCCTTTGTAAAATTCCTTTTCAAACAGCCTATTGTTGCCTCGTCGTTCCTCCTCTTTCCATCCAGAAATTAGAATGATGCACCCCATATTTCTAGATCAATATATCCTTCTATAGCATCCCATCATCACTCATTGCTCTTAACCACCATCTTGCATGAAGTGCTTGATTGGCATGCTTTAGTTTTCTAATACTCGGACCTCTTTCTTTTATAGGTGTACAAACCCTTCTCAGCTAACTAAATGATATTTTTTCCAAAATCACTAAAACCCCAAAGAAAATTGTGCATTAACTGCTCAATACGCTTAGAAATAGAAGTATGCTTGACAAGTAGAGACACTTGATAAATAGGCAGGTTCGGAAGTGAATCTTTAACAAGTGTAGCCCTCCCCCTAAAGAAAGACGCTTTGACATCCATAAATCCAATTTTGCATGTACCCTTTTCAGCCCATGATCCTGCGCAAACTTAATCAATCTCAAATTCGAAATTGGCAATCCAAGATATTTAATTAGGAATTTTTCTATTCTGTATCCTAAATAAAACACAAGTAAGCTTAGTTGCCCTTCTTCACAACCCACTCCAACATTCAGCGTTTTATCAAAATTAACCTTTAATCTGAACGCCATTTCACAACATTATAGGTTTGATAGTCAGCATGAATCTCATGTGAGGAAGGTCCAAAAAAAAATTGGGCCGCTTGCAATAATTAGGGTGGGAAGGCCCAAAAATAATTTGGCCCTTGCAATAATTAAGTTGGGCTTTGCATTATTTAAGATCAACCCTCTATTGATTAGACAAATAATAATAATTTTGAGAATCTTATTATCAACCCCACTATGATTTGGAATGTCACTTCAAGGAAAGCTCCAATTTCGTTGGTATGCGGTCGCTATTGTTAATAACCAATTTTGTAAAAGCCAAGGGATGGCAGCAATTTTGCTGAAGTTTAGAGAATATATATATAT